AATTCTAAAATAAAAAAATTCGTATAAAACATGCCCAGAATAAAATACTGATCATATAGATATATATAAAGACAATAGCAAAAACCCATGTCACCAAAATATAACAAAAAGGGGCACATAAAATACAGATAAAATACCTCAATAAAAATTAATTTATAAACCATGCTATGAAAACATGAACATTACCCCCATCCTAACACCAAAATGTGTAGGTTCACCTAAATCATACACCCACCTGTACACCCGATAAGGACCTGCGGTAAGGACTTACCCTGTGCACAAAGCATATGAGTATACAGTAAGGTCTTACAAGTTATAGACTAAACCTGAAATGCTTTCTCTAGAAATACCCAAAATGATTGTAAATATACATGTATTTCTGTCAAAACAATAGTTTAACATCAAAACAATCCATGTTTTAAAATCATGTTCAGATAAATATGATAACGAGAGATCATACCAGAAATATACGGTAAATCAGAATTCAATAATCGATATACCATAAATCAAAGATCATGTCACTAAAATGTTTAGTATCATCAAAAGTTTAAAACAATTTAGATAAATAAATCAAAATAGAAATTTAACATTATCGGGAACACACCTATATCGGTCAAAGAAGTCTGTTAGGGTAGCCTACTGCTGGGTCTGTCTATCACGATCAACGACTGTACTAGATCGAGTAACTCTCAAAGTATATGGATCGTGAGGATCTACTGGAAGGAAAGTGTTGAATCTAGTCAACCCTCAATAGGGAAAAACATGAGTAACAAGCTCGGTTCACGATGGAGAACGACGGAGAGCTCGATTTTGCAATGTCAAAAACTTGCATTACCTCACCTCTTCACACACCGATGACGCTGATTACAAAGTGTACACCGGTGGACTTATCCGGACTTAGGACAACGTCAAGATCACGATGGTACATGAGGTGTAGCAAACAGAGCTAAATCGACGGTAAAAAAACGTTGGAAGCTTTCTTGGAGAAGAATACTAAAAAAAAGGAAAGAGAGAAAATTTTCCATTTTGGGTTTTAACTTAACATATTTAGAAAATAGAAAAATTATGTCATAGGTCATCAAGTTTTGTTGCTTTCTGAATTTGATATGAATTTAATTAAAAATCATATTAATCACCAAAATTAAAATTAATAAAAATTTAACCCATAAATTAGGGTGTGACAGGTACAGTTGTGAGTAAAAATGGATTGGAAGTCTTTTTAGCCTTGTGGTTTGAGTGAGGGGTCTAAGAGTCAATAACCCTAATAATAAAAGCTTACAAGTGAAAACCTCGAATAATTATGTGGTTAGCATAAGAACATTGTGAAGTAATATTCCATAAGACTTATATCCTTGTTTTAAACTCGGGAAACAAGAAGGACACTCAAGATACTTAAATATGCGACGATAGTCTAAAGTATATGAATTTGAAATATCCAGATATATCTCCAGTAGTTCTAAGACACTTTAGTATCAGTGCTAATGCACTTTTGTATCAGTACTAAGACACTTTAATACTAGTGCTAAGACAGTTTAGTTATGTGATGGCATTGTCACTATACTTCGTATTTTTTGAATAGCACATAATGCTTTGTTGTGATATATGCTTAGTGTATTTCGTTGCCTCATGACTATATTTACTAGCATACTCATCTAGTGGATGCATGTAATATAATATAGTTATTTGTGTGGCACTAAGCTCATATCTCAACGTTCGAAATTGTTTCCATTCGTAGGTTCTTATGTGCTAGTTCGATGAACTTATCGTCAGATTGTGGGATTCAGATTCAGTCGAGTTTCAAGCTATGTCTCGATTATTTTAGAAGGCATGTATTTCATAGACCTTATGTATAATTAAGTCGTAACCTTTTTTTGTTAAAATATGATGTTTTTGAGATGTCATTTTCGTAGCTCCCCATCTGTAAAGCTTAAATGTTTATGTTTTAAACTATCGAATTTATGGATGGTTTATTATAAATGTGAGTAATGATTTTTTTTTTTTTTAAAAAATGGTTAGCTAGTTTGGTGGTTCCGTGTAATATTCAAATCTTCTGGATTTCGGGTTGGATCAGATTTGAGTGTTACATGGTGATGTGACAGTTAAAAAATGGATTTCGGGTTGGATCAGATTTGAGTGTTACATGGTGATGTGACAGTTAAAAAATGAATTTCAAGTTGGATCAAATTTGAGTGTTACATGGTGATATATGTCACTACCGAATTAGATGATATTTTCTTATTTTTTTTATTTGATATATTTATTTTTCCTCCCAACGTGTCACTACCTTATTAAGTGAGAAAATGAATTCATGAATTATGTAGTGAGTAGGATTAAAACTTGGGATAAAGGCATGATGTGCACACGCCTAAACCTATCAGCTAAGATCAATATTTAGTTCTATATTACAACATGTATTATATATCTATTCCAGTTAATGACAGAAAAAAGTGAAAATGCAAATTAGGAGACACGCGGCACATGGATTCAAAACAAGGATGAATTTACTTTAACCATTAAGTCCAATTCTACATTTGAATATAATTTATAATATTTTTAATTTTGTAACTTCTTTTTAATTTTTATTAATGGAAGAAATAATTCTTAATTTTTATTTATTAACTATAATTTACAAAATTTATTTTTTTTATTTTTCTTACAGGTGGAAATAATTGTTAGTTTACTCAAATTTAGAAAATTTTTATAGAATTTATTTTTATTTATTAACTACAGTGTATAATAATTTACTTTAATTTTTATTTATTAACTATAATTTATAATAATTTATAATAATTTTTAATTTTTATTAATGGAAGAAATAATTTTTAATTTTTATTTATTAACTATAATTTACGATATATTTTTTAAACTTTTTAATGATAGATTTAATTTTAATTTATTAACTATAATTTATAAAAATTTTATATATTTTTAATTTTCACTAATGAAATAAATAATTTTATTTTTTATTAACTATAATTTACAATATTAACTTAAAAATAAAAAAAAATAATCATAGAGTAGTAGTTAGAAAAATCTGAAGTTCTCACCAGAAATGTGTGATTTCAGTAAAGATATTAAATAACGAAAGAATGAAATAACACACAAATAATTAGAAAAAGTAGATCAAAGCATGACAAAAAAAAATGCAACAAGCAAATACAGGAGAATGACAAAAGTTAAATATATATATTGTAAATTATAGTTAATTAATACAAATTAAGAATCATTCTTCCATTAACAAAAGAATTTAAATATATAAAAATATTATACATTTTATTTAATAAATAAAAATTAAGAATAATTGCTTCCATTGAAAAAATTAAAAAAAATAAAAATATCGTAAATTATATTAAAAAAATTGATTTGACTTGATCGTTAAAATAAATTCATCCTTTGTTTTGAAGCATTGTGTCTCCAATTTGTATTTTCACTTTTTTTTTTATCATTAAATGGAATAGATATATAACACATCATGTAATATATAACTAAATGTAGAGCTTAATTGAGTGGTTTAGGTGTGTACGTATCATCACCTTATTGAAGGAAAATAAATATTAAATAAATAAATAATTTAAAAAGTATTTTCCAATCCGATAGTAATATGTGTCACCATTTAATTAGATATTAAATTTATTTTAATTGAAATAAATTATGACCAAATTAATATGATGTATAAATATTAAGGATTAAATATACAATTATACCAAGTTTTTAACTATCATGTCACCTCTTCCACTAAAAAGTAATGGGTAACAACTAGTAACTTGATTGAAGGATTTAAATATTTGATTAATCTTATTGATTAATCAAAATATTAATTGTCAAAATAAAATCTGACAATAATTAAATGATCGTCAATATAGTTTATTCAATTTATAAAAGATATAACACTATTTATCTCATTGCTTTTAAAAAAAATAATAAGAGTTTTTTGTTTAATAGGTGGTGACACTAATCTTAATATTAATTGTCGATCACCGGTGATTATTATTTTTCTTGTTCTTTATCATATTATGTCTTTTTTTCTTGAGTTTTTTTACCTCTAAATAAAAATCTCTATCCTTGTGATACACTTTTTTCTTGTCTTATGGAACGCTTTTTCTCTGTTCTTGTGGCACGTTTCTTTTGTAAATGGTCGTTTGTGGATATAATCAGAATTTTGTAGCTAAACAGTTTGTCAGATTGTTTGGTTCGCTCACTACTCCTTTATCACATCATAAAACGTCTCGTTCGACATAGACAAAAAAATTTATAAATATTACATGATTGTTTTGATATTTAAAATGTTTCATTCTCTTCGTATTTTTGAGTTTAATATTTTAATTTTATAATATAATTTTTTTTGATAACTACTGTCTCTATGCATTATAATTTTGATTCTTCAATTTTTATTAATAAAATTCGGTTTTCACTGTAAAAAAAAAAAAAGATAAGAAGAAAACTCTCATAATAGCATATCGGATTGATCTTGTTTATACAACAGTGTCGGTGTAATTGGGTCGGTGTTTAATCCCTTTTAGTACAAAGCGTAAATCCATCGGATTCCGACCTTATATTATATGATTAAATTATAACCTGAGTTTCCACGTAACAGGTTATCATTGCTGAATTTATGTAGGATAGCAACATAAAGCGATTATTTTGCACGTGATACATATTTTCGTACAATCGTAGTCTCATCAAATGCTCTGGCTCCTCTCACCTTTAATTATTTCAATCGGACGGCCATAAAACGATTATTTTCTAAAATGATAGTACAGACTGTAGTAAAATCTTATCCTGATAGGCCTATTTCAAATTCAAGGCTCTGGTTTCTCTCACTTTTCATCCTATTCAATCGGACGGTCAAGAATCTCACCAGGTACTTACCTTCAATTACTTCAATCGGACGGTCATAAATATCGCCACCTTCCTACTTGAACTCACCAATGAATGTGCAAGCCTATCCCGTTTGATAATTCTTTTTATCACCATTTCAGTCTATATATAGAAGTCATACACTAATACCTTAGTGATTAGAGTATAGCTGATAGAGCAATGGAATCCATGGCAGCAGCAAAACCAGTGATCAAAGTGGCTGCCCTTTGTGGGGCTATAAGTAAAGGCTCTCACAACAGAGCCTTAATTCGTTATGGTATCAATGATCTTGCAAATTCAAGCCTAAACCAAATAACCGATGTTCTTGCTTTGGTTTATGTGAAATACTGATTTTTTTTTACCTATTGACGTCTAAAGGAATGCTCTTGTTTCTGTTTACGGGAAATGTTGATTTGGGTGTTGTTCTGTTTCAGCTATCGAATTAACTAAGCAAGACATTGATGGGATCGAGATTGATTACGTAGAAATTGCACCACTTCCTATGCTCAATACCGATCTCGAGGTTGATGGCAAGTATCCGGCGGTTGTTGAGGCTTTCCGGCAGAGGATTTTGGCGGCTGATAGCGTCCTCTTTGCTTCCCCCGAGTACAACTACTCGGTTACCGGTATTATCTCATCTCAATTCTCTCCTTGCTTTGTACTTTATTATTATCTGCACAGTTGAAACTGTATTACTCCATTATCTGCACTGTACTAGCGCCCCTGAAGAATGCGATCGACTGGGGTTCTCGACCACCGAATGTTTGGGCTGATAAGGCGGCTGCCATCGTAACTGTCGCCGGGAGTTTAGGCGGTGCGCGGGCACAATATCATTATCGACAGATTGGGGTGTATCTTGATCTTCATTTCATCAACAAACCTGAGTTTTTCTTGGATGGATATGGGTCTCCACCTAAGTTTGATAGTGATGGCAACCTTATTGACCCTGCATCCATGAAGAGAATGAAGGAAGTTCTTCTTTCCTTGCAAGCATTTACTCTGCGACTCCGAAGTAAGTGCTGCTCGGTCCATTATCAAACTTTTTATTATGCAAATAAAACCATCTAATTTTATTAAGAAAGAAAAATATATTTAAATTTATAATAAATATTTATAATCATAAAGATAAATTAAACACATAATTACAACCTATTGCAATTAACATAGGAAATTACCCATTTGACCATACAAAAAAAAAAAGTTAAATTTGTTCAAAAAACTCGAACAAAATATTTGTATTAACATCATCAAGCAAACGAATTATAATAAAAGATTAAACCACTTAAAATCTTAAATCAGAGTTGATCATCTTGAGAAAATTATTTTTGGACGCAAAACATATAACTAAATTTAATTTGAGAGTCCAAAATATAGAAAATTAACAGCATACCATATAATTGTCATTTTGATAGGTTGAGATTGACGTTAAATTCAACCATAAAAAATAAAATAAAGGTAACAAACCAAAATGAATGATGAAGAAGACTGCAATTTTGCTAAAAAGCAGAATTATTTTATCCTGAAATCAGTACCTGAAATGAAATACGAGTCGACAAAAGAAAAATTTATCCAGGCATCTTTCACTTGTTAATTGACTTTTTCTATGGATGTAGGCTGCAATTCCAACCCCTTAACAATATCAGAGTTCCGAAGGAACATGTGCAAATTATCCGAGGAAGGACAAGCCTTAACACCATTCCTCGATGGAAATCTTGCGCAAAAATTCCATTCTAGCTCACAATACAAGCGTGGAATAACATCGGAGCCTTATGATTGGTATGATCGGGAAATCTGCAACAATGAGAAAAATGTACTTAGTCGGTTTCATGACACCCATTTGGGGCTCAAGAACAGAAGGTATACCCCTAATGCTAGGGAAAGGATGTATAAGTTTGTTTTGGTTGCGTCTTGGGTGTTTTTCCTCATTGTATTCATGCTGGATTATCGGGTTAAGATTGCTGAGGATGCTTGCTGCAAGAGGAGTCTATATGGCAAGGGCCTTGATCTCTGGAAGGCCTATAGTTAAATTGCTGTGCACAGTCACCATAGTAAGTAGACACTTTGGTTTCTTATGCATTAAATTTCGATGTAAAACCTGCATGCATGGGGGAATTGTCAGAATAAGATCAAGCTGTGTGTTTGCTTGGCTTGTAAAATAATATCCTGTACTACTAGTGTTGTTCTAGTTGACGTGCTGTTTTTGTATTAGAAGTCATTGCTGCTGCCTTTGGCCTGTGCTTTAATGGAAGTCTGCAGCTCCATTTAGCCATTCTGAAGTTTTTAACAGTTTTATCAGATGTTTGATTAATAGCTAGAGATGGAAGTGGATTGGGCACTTTTAGATAATATGATTTATCGGATATCTAAATTCGATGTTCTTTTGGTTGTCGTCATCATCGGCATCGCCTGTAAACATAACATCCACCATACTCAAGAAATTCATCATCTTTTCATGGTTATCGAACCATTTATCCTAATTATTTCATCCAAATCTCAAAACACAACCACGAGTTGGAGACAACATAGTGAGAAAGAGAGATTGTGTTTCAATTAATAAAGTTTTCATCAATTTATGCAACACATAAAACTTGAGTCTTAAATACACTGTATTATCTTGCACTAGTATGGATCATGAAGTTTAAAGAAAGATAACTTTTATGAGAATGTTACATGATTATGTTTTCTTGTTTCTGGATGAAGTACACTAGTTGTGTTAGAAGAATTGTTCAAACCATTTCCAGTACAAGCTTTAGCTGTAGTAGGTCAAGTTCCACATGGAGCACACTTTTCAGTTGCAAGGGAAAATGGTTGTGGAAATTGAGCAAAATTTGTTCCATGATAGGAAGATAGAAAAAATGGATGAACTGATTGTGATGAATGGTTTGATGGTGGGAAGAAGTGAAGCTCTTGAATATGGTGGATGTTGTGTTTAGTAACGACAGCGATCGATATAACATTAAACTGTTGTGATTTAGGAAGGAGGCCGACGAGTACTAAATAATATAATAAATTTAAGGTTTTGGGGAAGAAGATGACTTTAACGAGTCAATCAATATTAACGACAACTGGCAACAATATTGATTATAATGAAAGCGAATAAAAATTTTAGTGATTGCATTTCGAATTTTAGAAGTTTGGTGTCCATCACGCAAGGGCCATAAAATTTTGGTCCTGAACAAGAGTTGTCTTTTAGCTAATAAAAAGGAACATAAATCATTAATCAATTTGCAGTTTAGACAACATACGAGGGAAAAACATGATCAAGACCTAATGAACTAAAATTAGTTGATAACCGGTAGGCTTTAGACAGTCTAAAATGGCAATCTCGTTCATCAGTTCACCGAATTATCCCCTCCAAATGTTTGGTTTCCTATAAATTTTAGGAGCTAAACCCGGAAATCATAGGAAAAGGTTTTTGGTTTGTTTTTTGGCTCATCCCCACCAAACAAACCAAAAAGAAATATTCCAAAGCAACTCAATCCTCGTCAATCTAGCACCTCCATTTCTCTGTAATTTTACTTCCAAGTTTTGAAAAATGCCCATTTCTTAACACCAACTGGACTATCCCAAAAATTCAACTTTTCTGAGAAAAGGAAATGAAAAGATTGGGTTTTTATTTATTTAGACAATTTCATTTCCCTCCATTTTCGCTTAAATTTTTCGTTTTTATGAAAGTTCCCATATTGATGCAATGAAGAGACAGAAAGAAGAAAGATGGATATAATTTTTTTTTATCATTGGGTTTATGATTGGTTAAAGAAAGGAAATAGAAAATTGTAGCTTGAAAAGAGACAAGTTTTAATTTGTTTCATACATAGAATGAACAAATGAACAAAAAGCTTGGCTTTAGAAAGGCCTTGGAAAATAGACTAAAGAAATCACAAGTTGCTGCAAAGAAGAAAGCAGCCAGCATATTTACAGCAATGTCAGTGGCTCATGTTGATGATGAAGACCCGAGCCCTGGTGAAGTTCGCCATGTCGATAAAGCCCTTCCAAAAGGTGAATTCTATACAGGCCAATGGTGTGACAATTTGCCTCATGGTGATGGAAAGTATTTATGGCCTGATGGATGCATGTACGTTGGTCAATGGTGTAAAGGCAAAATGGTGGGGAAAGGCAAGTTCTCTTGGCCTTCAGGGGCCACCTACGAAGGCGAATTCAAGAGTGGCTACATGGATGGTAATGGTAATTATACAGGTTTCTCAGGAGAAACATACAAAGGGTCTTGGGTTATGAACTATAAACAAGGAGAAGGTATTCATTGTTATGCCAACGGGGATAGCTATGAAGGCCGATGGCGCAGTGGATCGCAGGATGGACAGGGGAAGTACCTATGGAAGAATGGGAATCAATACATTGGCCAATGGAAGAATGGATTGATGAATGGTGATGGAACAATGATTTGGAATAATGGGAATAGATATGATGGTTCTTGGGAAGATGGTTTTCCTAGAGGAAATGGGAATTTTAGATGGCCTGATGGGAGCTTTTATGCTGCTATTTGGAGTAAAGATGGTAAGGATCAGAATGGAACTTATTATCCATCCGGTTCACTGACTGATAATCTCGATTGGGATCCTCAAAGGGTGTTTTTAGAGGATCTGAAAGATTGCAAGATATGTCCTGGTGAGAAAGTGTCAATATTACCATCACAAAAGATACCAAATTGGCCTGCAATGGCTAAGAGGAATGAAGGGAGGCAAAGGAGATTGTCGAAATTACATAACCATAGTTGTTGTTCAGATGTGAATGATGTTTGGAATGCTGAAGGGTATCCAAGGTTTGAAGATGGAGCAGTGGGAGCTCCTAATCCTGAATATAGTTCAAGAGCGTGTGTGCCACCATTTATGAAGATGATGAAGAAGCAAGGCCAAATGATATCGAAAGGCCATAAGAATTATGATCTAATGCTCAATTTGCAACTAGGTATCAGGTAGTGACTTTTTACTTGAACCTTGATGTTGCTTTGTATGGAGTTAATGTACTTATTATGTTTTGATTCCTTTTTCCTGTCAGTTGGTTAGAATTTCATTCCTTACAGTTCAGTTTGAGATATAATGATTTAGTGGCCTATCATGTATGTATTGATTCTCTGGTCATATTGTAGACATTCCGTTGGAAGGTCTGGTCCAGCCATATCCCTTGACCTAAAACCTTCGGCTTTCGACCCGAAAGAAAAAATATGGACCAAATTTCCTCCTGAAGGATCCAAGCACACTCCACCGCATCAATCCTGCGATTTCAAGTGGAAAGATTACTGTCCACTTGTATTCAGGTTAGAAATCTGACCATCTCCTTCATTACAAGCCATTTGGAAATATAATTATTGGTTACACGTAGTATTTCCTGACATGTATTCGTTTTTACATTTCCAGGACCCTTAGGAAATTGTTCAATGTGGATGCAGCTGATTACATGCTTTCGATATGTGGGAACGATGCCCTTCGTGAACTATCATCTCCTGGAAAAAGTGGAATGTTCTTTTACTTGACCCATGATGACAGATACATGATAAAGACCATGAAAAAGGCTGAAGGAAAAGTAAGTCTCCTAGTTGTTTCTACTTCAGAAACTATAAGCTAGCTCTGCATCTTGCTGCAAATTTTTTGTATGGCCGCCTTACAAAAACACAATTTTTTGTATCATATTTGTAGGCAGAACACACTGTAAATCGAGAAACTTTCCATAGATGACAACATTTGGTCCCTTACAATTCAGTTGTTCATGAGTTTTCCTGTTTTCGGAAACTGTTTGTGTAACTTAGAAAGTGCACTAATCACTCTTAATGACTAATGTTGCAGGTTCTCATAAGAATGCTCCCGGCTTATTACAATCATGTTTGGTCATTCCAGAACACTTTAGTCCCAAAATTTTTTGGTATTCATTGTGTGAAACTAACTGGTTCGGCGCAGAAAAAGGTAACGTTGATGTTACATAATTTCCTGATTCGAAGTCATAGGATTTCAGGAATCAGTTTCATACTTTCTTCATTTGGGATTTAATGAGTCAGGTACGCTTTGTTATAATGGAGAATCTATTCTTTACTCACTATGCCATTCATAGTCGTTTTGACTTGAATGGCTCTTCACATGGCCGCACAACTTATAAACCTGAATCCGAAGTCGATCCGACAACAACCCTCAAGGACCTTGATCTCAATTATATATTTCGATTGCAGAAACTATGGTTCCAAGAGTTCTGCAGGTGATTATCTTTTCTAGTACTACCATCATCTAATTTTGCACAGGCTTTTAAGTTTGGTTAGCATATATGAATGTTTGGGGTGATTTTCATGCAGGCAAGTCGACCAAGATTGTGACTTTCTTGAACAGGAGAGAACCATGGACTACAGTCTGCTGATTGGTTTTCATTTTCGAGAAGTTTATTCGTCCAGTGCTACCGGAGTTCTCACGCCTACCGGTTATTTCTGCTTATCCCTGGAATTTAAATCTTCCATGACTCTGTTATCCGTGATCTGTTACCTGATTAAGATATGTTTTGGACATAATTTGCAGGGTATCAAGATCCCGAAAACGAAGGAAGGCTATCTCAAGCTAGAAAGGATCAGATTCCTGTCGATCCCTCTCGGTAATATGAACATCTTCAGTTTCATCTAGAAAGTTACATGAATCACATGTGATGATGTTTCAATATGACAACTGCAGGGGGTCTTCCACTAGATTGGGTATAAATATGCCTGCTCGGCCGAGAAGACAGTCCGGAAACCGGATTGTGAAGCTCAGCTAGTTGGAGAACCTACCGGTGTATTCTATGATGTGATCCTCTTCTTTGGTATAATCGACATTCTACAAGATTACGACATTACCAAGAAGCTCGAGCATGCGTACAAATCGATGCAGTATGATCCGACATCGATATCGGCTGTAGATCCGAAACAATATTCAAAACGCTTTCGGGATTTCATTTTCAAAGTTTTTGTAGAGGACACTTGAGAAAATAGTTAGATTTCGAAGAGATTTCAACTTCGGAAGATAGTATCCATTCACGCTCATTCAATCATTTTTCTGAAGATTGAGTGTTTAAAAGGAGAAGATTGTCACTTCGGTCGTTCACATGGCTATGGAGGACGATCAATGGCTGCGCCGGACACTGTTTCGTAATTCAGGGTAGTTTCTCAGTATACTTTCTCGATCTCAATCACTTTACAGTTGAAAATATAAG